GAATTTGTTAACTTGGGCTGAGGAGAAAAGCAGCTCATGAAGAGATAGCTTATTTGGGCAATGTGTCTGCTTTGTGAGGAGAGGGGGAAAAAATGGATCAGCCACGGGACACAGCAAACTCACTGTAATGGTGAACATGTGACTGAAAGACACTGTGAAGGTTGTAAATGCAGGCTTTGGTTGCAAAGTTACTCTTTCATCACTGTTGTAATTGCAAACAGTTGCTGTCTGAGGCAGTCACTAAACAAGGACTACTTCTACCTTCATTCCTAAAATAGATAGAATCTAGGTGAGAGAAAGCTGGCTTTCATGACACGTTTACAAGTACTTACTCTTTCTTTTCCTGCCTGCTGTTGTTCTGTATTGTTGATTTCCCTTTGCAATTTCTAGAGCATTTCCCCATATTTGTTTAGAAAGCTGAAAACATTTCTCAGCAAAGATCAGTAACAGTGAATGAAAGACGAAGTCTTATATAACATTTATTAATTTCAAAGCAGCATTTGATAGCATTTTGGGCCAGGCTTCTGGTATATGGAGTAACATCTAAAATATGCTGAAGGCTTTTTTACCAAGCTGCAAATTATTGGGTTGGATGAGAACGTATGGAGTCCACAGTCAAGATTTCTCCATTAAAATTGGAATCCATTAGGATGGTACCCTATTGCTACTTTTATTCAATATATGCACGGATTATATTTTGGGAAAAGTCATTGTCTGGAAAGGCTGGTGGCACTGTTATGTATTCCTCCAGTTCAATGATTCCAAATTTAACCTCTGATGATATGGTTATCCTATCCAGCAATGAGAAGACCTACAAGAAAGTATTAGTCATGATCTGTATATAAGAAGGCAAACTATTCCACAGGAAGGGGTTACCACTGAGAAGGTCTGATGATGGGGTTCTACTGATGGAACTCCTTAGGGGACAGGACCCTCAGCAGGACCTGTCTCTCAGTTCTTACAGGACAGCCAGACCCTAAATCATGCAAGGCTTTAAAGGTAATAACCAGCATCTTGAATTGCCCTTGGAAGTTGAAGGATAGCAAGTGCAGCTCCTAGGGGAAGAGTTGTTACGTAAGTAAATCTAGATGTACATATCATTATTTAGACTACTGCATGCTGATCTGGTTTAAGCTTTCAGGTGATCTTCAAGGGCAGCCTCTTGTACAGCCCCACGTAGAGCGAATTCCGTAGTCCAGTTGTACTTGTACGAAGGAATGGATCAGTGAAAATTGACTTTTGAGAGGATTTAATAATAAGGGCTTGAAGTACCTGTAATGAAAAGTGCTTCTGAGGTATAGTTAATAGAATGTCTTTTCTTGTTGCAGGTGGACTTGTCATCCCTTACCCAGGAGCATCTATGTGACTCTCAGGAAACATCAGGGAAGAAGTTGGGTGTTTCAATGGTTACTGCTGATGTTGGGCTTGTCAGTATGATTCGGCAGGGAATTTTGGCATTGCAACTGCTTCCCTCCAACTCCACTGCAGGTGGGTGTGCAGATGGGATCTTTTTTTAACTTTTTTTCAAAGTCCATCTGTTATGTTTAATTAGACAAAGGGAGACAGAGTAAAAGAAGGGAGATTAAGTTAGTCTTGTGTACTCTTGTGTATCATTGACTATGCAAAAGTCTTTGATTGTGTGGATCACAACAAACTCTGGCAAATTCTTAAAGAGGTGGGGGTACCAGACCATCT